GGGAAAGGCGTTGGGATTCTGGAAAGTTCCATTTGTGAGGGAAAAGTGTGGCTGGGAAGGCTGGGATGATTCGGGATTGGGTAGGAAGGATCATTTGGGATCATTGGGGATCGGGGTGGGAGAGATCCTTTGGGATCATTGGGGATCACTGAGGGCTGGACAGGAGGGATGGTTTGGGATCATTGGGGATTGGGTGGGATGGATTATTTGGGATCACTCAGAATGGTGTGACAGGGATGGTTTGGGATCATTTGGGATGGTTTGGGATCAGTGTGGGAGGGATCATTTGGGATGATTGGGGATCATTCAGGGTTGGACAGGAGGGATGGTTTGGGATCATTGGGGACGGTTTGGGATCATTGGGGACGGTTTGGGATCATTGGGGATCACTGAGGGTTGGACAGGAGGGATGGTTTGGGATCATTTGGGATTGGGTGGGATGGATTATTTGGGATCACTCAGAACGGTGTGAGAGGGAGAGTTTGGGATCATTTGGGATCATTGGGGATCACTGAGGGTTGGACAGGAAGGATGGTTTGGGATCATTGGGGATCCTTTGGGACAGTGTGGGAGGGAGGGTTTGGGATCATTGGGGATCACTGAGGTTGGACAGGAGGGACAGTTTGGGATCATTGGGGATCACTGAGGGTTGGACAGGAAGGACGGTTTGGGATCATTGGGGATCACTGAGGGTTGGACAGGAAGGACGGTTTGGGATCACTAGGGATCACTGAGGGTTGGACAGGAAGGATGGTTTGGGATGATTGGGGATCATTCAGGGTTGGACAGGAGGGATGGTCTGGGATCATTGGGATCCTTTGGGGCAGTGTGGGAGGGAGGGTTTGGGATCATTGGGGATCACTCAGGACTGTGTGGGAGGGATGGTTTGGGATCATTGGGGATCACTGAGGTTGGACAGGAGGGATGGTTTGGGATCATTGGGGATCACTGAGGTTGGACAGGAGGGATGGTCTGGGATCATTGGGGATCACTGAGGGTTGGACAGGAGGGACAGTTTGGGATCATTGGGGATCACTGAGGGTTGGACAGGAGGGATGGTTTGGGATCATTGGGGATCACTCAGGACTGCATGGGAGGGACGGTTTGGGATCATTGGGGATCACTGAGGAATGTGTGGGAGGGATGGTTTGGGATCATTGAGGATCACTGAGGGTTGGACAGGAAGGATGGTTTGGGATCACTGGGGATCACTGAGGGTTGGACAGGAGGGATGGTTTGGGATCACTGGGGATCCTTTGGGACAGTGTGGGAGGGAGGGTTTGGGATCATTGGGGATCACTGAGGGTTGGACAGGAGGGACAGTTTGGGATCACTGGGGATCACTGAGGTTGGACAGGAGGGATGGTTTGGGATCATTGGGGATCACTGAGGTTGGACAGGAGGGACGGTTTGGGATCATTGGGGATCACTGAGGGTTGGACAGGAGGGACAGTTTGGGATCATTTGGGATCATTGGGGATCACTGAGGTTGGACAGGAGGGATGGTTTGGGATCACTGGGGATCACTGAGGGTTGGACAGCAGGGATGGTTTGGGATCATTGGGGATCACTCAGGACTGCATGGGAGGGACGGTTTGGGATCATTGGGGATCACTGAGGGTTGGACAGGAGGGATGGTTTGGGATCATTGGGATCCTCTGGGGCAGTGTGGGAGGGATGGTCTGGGATCATTGGGATCCTCTGGGACATTGTAGGAGGGATGGTTTGGGATCATTGGGGATCACTCAGGACTGCATGGGAGGGACAGTTTGGGATCATTGGGATCCTCTGGGGCAGTGTGGGAGGGACAGTTTGGGATCATTGGGGATCACTCAGGACTGCATGGGAGGGACGGTTTGGGATCATTGGGATCCTCTGGGACAGTGTGGGAGGGACGGTCTGGGATCATTGGGGATCACTCAGGACTGCATGGGAGGGACAGTTTGGGATCATTGGGATCCTCTGGGGCAGTGTGGGAGGGAC